TATTTATTTATTTTATTTTTCGATCGCAAAAAATCATGGTTGATAATTTGATAATCTGATACCAAGAAATTCTGAGCTTCTAAAATCCTCGACATGGATTTTCTACATGTATGTATGTATATATGTACGTATGTAGGTATGTATGTAGGTATGTACGGATGACTGTGTTTAACAGCCAATTACCTGTTCGTATTTTAATCACGTATCATGCTGTGTTACTGTAGGCATGGTGACACAAACCAAACATATTTCAAGCCTGCTACAGATACGTAGGTACTGATTGTGTTAGTCCCCCGCCCTTTTTTTTTGGGGGGGGGGAAGAGGAATAAGACAAACTTGAATTTTTTTTTGGGCCGTCCTAGGAATTTTTCCATGGAGAAATGAGTAAGTATATTTTTTTTTTCTTGGGTGGGGTGTGCTCAGGTTGGTGTTGAAGTTGACCTGTAGGTCGTTCCTCAAGACAAGCTGAAAGCTTAAAGACCTACCGGTGCGGCTGCGAAAGTCTACCGGGATTTCAGTGTACCAATCCCAAGGCTCCCCGCCACAGGACCGGTTTCCAACTCCCAAATAACCGCTCGCCAGCGACGTCCCTACCATCAAGTTCATTAGACTCCTGTACCATATAGACACAGCCGCGACTTGTGGGCCGCAACCTTTCGGTCACCACAAAGGTTCCCTCTATTACTACCTGCTGAAACCAGCCCAGTCGCTTCGCTGTTCCATTCAGACATTCTCCCTTTTTACTGTTTAGGTGCTGTCGCTTAGACCGGCAATGCGACGGACCGGGGACGACAGCCGAGGGGGCCACCCCTACACACCTTTTGGATTACGATACATGGCTGGGAGAAAGAGGACAGAAACTGGCCGCGCCATATCTCCATCAGCGAGTTACTAGTCCAGGCTCACTTTTAGGACCGAATATCAAGGAAGATGCATGCCGCATGAATTGCCCTCTCTGCGTGAACAGATGACTTAAAATAGCAGGCTTGATTTGTGACGCTAATTTTTGCCTTTCTAACCTCCCGGAGCCAGCTCTTATCTTGGCTAGGTACCTACTGAGAATTCTCCGAGTCGCAGTGTATAATTACTACCACCTTCCAAAAACTTTCACTCGGAGGCTGGAACTCCGGCTTTGGTTTGAGGTCTCGTTCGCCGGGTTCTACATGTCAAATGATTGTGATTATGATTTCGTCCAAGCAGCTTTTGAAGCCATCGACATGTTTGACATGGGATCACCGAGATATTGAGAGAGAGAGAGAGAGAGAGAGAGAGGGGGGGGGGGGGCAGATTATTAAGACGGTTTAAAGAAAGATCGATTGAGACTCGGCCTGTGCCCGGATACACCTGGGCTGTTGAGAAACAGAAAGCAAGGCTTCACTTCACAGAAGTAAGTGAGAGCTTAACAATGCTGGCTCTACCGGATATGTAGAGTTTTTTGAAAAAAAAGAAAAAAAAAAGAAAAAAAAAAGAAAAAAAAAAAAGAAAAAAAAAAAAAAGAAAAAAAAAAAGAAAAAAAAAAGAAAAAAAAAAAAAAAAAAAGAAGGATTGTCGGAGATGGTTATGAATATTGCGTGGTCATGTCATGAATGAACAGTTGATGAGGCCTGTAAGTTTTTGTCTCTGATGAGAGAATGAATTTGAATGGCTGACAGTTGGCACGCACTAGCTGGACACTAAAACTTGTCAGTATGATTAGTAAGTTAAGTTAGTCAACTTGTTAAAAGCTGGAACCATGAACTCTTATTATCCATGATGAAGGATTCCACAAGCGGGAGAACTGGATTACTATTATTAAATATTCGGGATGACGTTGGTGATTCCACTCAGAACTCTCGAGGATTTCCACGTGGGATTTGTCGATCATTTGTATTGTGCAGTCAGCACCCGTACACAATTGTCCATGTACATACCTACACATGTCTATGGATACATGATGACGATCGTTTATTATAGAGAGGAAAACATTGAATTGTTTTGCTCTGTCTTCGAATCATTAGCGCGGCCCACCGAGATCAAACCTCCACCAGACGTTCACAGGGATCGGTAATTATCCCGGTCAATGCCATCATCCTCCCAGTTTCAACCAACATGTGTTGAGAGTGGAGCTTCGTCGGTACTGTCATTACTCATCAGACTTGTTTGGGAGGGGGCTTGCGAATTTTCAGGTTGCCATCCGAAGCATCCGAATCCGCTCCACTTAAACCCCGATGCCCCGGCATATCCCCGGCATCAACCTTGCCTTGTCGACAACAGTTTCCCGTTGGGTTTCGATAATGAAAAATATCAATAGAGGTCCGCGACGATCCAGAAAAAAGAAAAAAAAAGAAAAAGGATTTTCGGTACTGTCGGTGTTCCGATGCCAGATAAAATCCAGATTCCTTTAAAAACCGGACGAGTGACGCCGAAGGGGGGGCGTATCTGGGACCCGGAAAGCCGCCTCGCTTGATTCTTGGGGGTCAGATTGAAATCTTTGAGGCTCCGTAAAAACCGCGGTGACAAAGCCACTGTTTAAGAGAAAAAAAAAACGAGGATATTTCCGGAATTCGCCGTTCGGATCGGTGGGGAAGTTTCTAGCAAAGAAAAAAAAAATGGCCCTACTTTTCGGCTTTTCGTTTCCAAAAACCCTCTTTGATATTTGTAAATTTCCTTTTTCAAATTTTGCGCACCCAGATAGGTTTTGCGCTCTTGGTTTTTGTATTTTGACGATATTCCCAAGATTTTTCCGCTGTTTTTCTTAATATCTAATTTCGTTCAGAGGCTTTATTCCCCTATCAAGCGTTCATTTATTATTCGCTGTGCAGTTTCCGAACCATTGTATACAGTACATACGCCTCTGCTGCATCATCATCATCATCATCATGAACTCCACCGATCCGGACCACATATCACTCTCAGGACCAGATCTTTGGGACGCCATCGTCGGCATCAGGACGGGATGTTACCCTCTCATGGACATCCTCGAGCCCGTATATGGCTATCAACCAACACTCGGCGCCGGGATAACCTTTGATGTCCTCTTCTGCCTGGTCATGATCGGCCACCTCATAATGTTTGCCATCTTTAGGAAATGGACCTCATTCTTGTTTGCTGTCGGGTCACTCAGTGAGTTTTGTTTCCTCTCCCACCCCCCCCCCCCATTCTTCATCACTTGCCTGTAAATATTACACCATTTCTAACGCCGCCCGCCCGCAACCAAAAGCCGAACTCCTAGGATGGGCAGGTCGCACCTGGTCGGCCAAGTGTCCCTACAACCAAAACGCCTTTCTCATGCAAATCACCACGCTCATCATCGCGCCGACGTTTTACTCTGCGGCCCTCTACGTCCTCCTGTCGATCCTCATCGGCCTGCTCGGCCGGCAGACCTCCATCCTCTCCCCCAAGTGGTACGCCATCATCTTTTGCGCCTGCGACGTGCTGTCCCTGGTGATCCAGGCGATCGGCGGCGGCATGGCGTCGCAGGCGACCCAGAGGCCCGACGGGGACACGGCGCCCGGCACGCACACCATGGTCGCCGGCATCGTCTTCCAGCTCTTCACCATGACCGTCTTCGCCGCGCTCGTCTGCGACTTCCTACGGAGGGTATGGGCCCTGCAGCGGAGCAGGGGCTCCGGCGCGGCGCTGCTGCTGACGCCCAAGCTCAAGATGGTGCTGGGGTCCATGTTTGTGTCGTTTGTCATGATTTACGTCCGGAGCATCTACCGGACGGTCGAGCTGGCCCAGGGGTGGAAGGGCGACCTGATCACCCACGAGGGGTACTTTATCGGCTTGGACGCCGCCCTGATGTTCGTGGCGGCTGCCGTGTGGCTGGCGCTGGACCCGGCGGTTCTGCTGAGAGATCAGGAGGCGGCCGCCAAGGCGAACAAGGAACGAGGAGCAGCTGCCGGACGGGGACAGCAAGATCACGGTGCCGAGTCCGAGTCATCTTGGGACCAGGAGAGGAAATCAGCTCACAGGATATAGATGCAATCAGTTGTCCCGTCTGGGTTAGTTTTGGATTCGTTTTGACATAAAAAAGTAAAAAAAAAAACAAAAAAAAATACGTTATTATGAAGGAAATGTCGAGAAATGTTTGGCCAGCGGCGGTCATTCATCTCCTATGTAATTTATAAAACTTTTTAGAGAGTATATACAATTATCATCATGCCAGCATCGTTATTACATTTGAACGAGCATGCAGGAATTTTGTCCTTGCAAGAAGTCGAGGCCAAAGTAATTGATATATCAACATTCCAACTAAATAAATAGAAAATATTACCGGCTGCATGAGGTACGAGTTTAAAATAGGCCAAAAAAACTTCATATTTGCTCTCTAGGGAGGTCTGAGGAAATCAAACCCTTGTTCCTATGTGTAACCTGATGGGCTGACTCATATATCGTCGCGGGCAAAGAATACATCCCAACAGAAACCGGAATCGTTTACAGATTTTTTTTAATCTCTTTTATTTTTCGAACCTGTCTCCCCGCCGCCATACCTACCTATATCACGTTTCAACATGATGCTCTCGATGTAGTGAGTTAAGCAAGGGCCTATCATTGCCAGCACAGCCTGGTATTACTATATAGAGGTATTTGGAGAGCTGATATCGCGGTTGAAAATTCATTAAAAGTTTGCAGACCCAGGGTTTCTGGTAAGGGTGTAACACCATGGTTGAAAGAAAACCATGGCATAGCATGCCAACCCGAAGACATACAATCTACATGAGTAGTTCACCGACGTGTTCGTACGAGGCTGGTTAAGATAATGTTTAGCTCTAAAAATGAGACGAGTAGATACGGTACACAGCAGTTGTTCAATATGTCAAGGCACCATCACTTGGCTATTACCAAAATCCATGATGCGTTTGATATGTAACATGAGTTGCAAGATTGTCTGACCAGTTCTGTCATGAGTTTGGATGCCGAGCACTCTGTGAGTCAGAGGGACCGAAGAGCAGTTTATGGGGTAAATGTAACCCCTCTCCCCCCCCCCCCCCAAAAAAAAAAACATGAAAAAAAGAAGTTGCGGTTTGTGTGGATCGAACACACGACCTTCAGATGCCTTTGACTCAAGGTTTTGGGGCCGAAGTGGAACTTCAGTCTGACGCTCTCCCAACTGAGCTAAACCCGCTGATTCTTGGATGTAAGCATGTTTCGAAAATCAGCTTTATATAGGGTGATTAGAATACCAAATTGAATAGGAGTAACCTGAGCGATACCACAATCCCCCCTAAGTAGCAAACTACAGACAAGTAGCAAGTACATTACAACGAATCTTAACAAGTCATATCACAGGAAAGAACAAAAAGTATACAAGCGAGCACTTCAATTGTTTACTAGGTTTAAAATATTACTTTACAAACCAAGTATTTAAACCAACTGACAAAAATATAAATATCAACAAAACCAAAAAAAATGGCAAAAAAATGCCTTCACCCGCTGTAGTAGTATGACACCCCCTTATTAAACCCTCGTCACGTTGCCCTCAATCAGCTCGCCAAACTTCCTCACCATGCCGTCGTAGGCCGGGTGCTTCGAAAAGTCCTCAAACCACAGCAGGCTCGCGCCGTTGCCGGGGAAGACGTCGGGCACCCAGCTGAAGGGGTCGTAAAAATCCCAGACCGTGATGCCGACGCACTTCTTGGTCCGCACGCAGGCGCCCACGACCTTTTCGTAGCACTCGCTCTGCCACTTGAGCTTCTGCTCGTCGACGGGCGTCTTGATGCGCACGTCGAGCTCCGTGTAGGCGACCTCGTCGACCAGCTCGGCGTACCCCCTGTTGGTCTCGACCAGGTCGTCCTCGGTCGGGTGGTTGTCGGCGTGCAGGTGCGCCTGCATGCCCACTCCGTCGATCCTGACCCCGGCGTCCTTGAGCATCTTGACCAGCCGCTTGGCGCCGGCCGTCTTGACCGACGCGGGCCGCTCGATGCCGTAGTCGTTGTAGTACAGCTTGGCCGCCGGGTCGACCTCGGCGGCCACCCTGAACGCCAGCTTCAGGTACTCCTCGCCGAGCACGTTGTAAAAGACGGACTTGCGGTACGTGCCGTCCTCGTCGAGCGCCTCGTTGACCACGTCCCAGGCGTAGCACCTGCCCCTGTAGTAGCCCGCCACTGCGCGGATGTGCCTCGTGATGGCCTCGGTCAGCGTCTCGGGGGTCCACTCGGTGGTTTCCACCCACGGCGCGAGCTGGCTGTGCCAGACGAGCGCGTGGCACCTCAGCATCTTGCCGGTGCGGTTGGCGAGGTTGGCCACGTAGTCGCCCTCGGTGAAGTTGAAGAGCGCCGGCTGAGGCTCGGTGAACAGCCATTTCTGGCCGTTGGTCGGCGTCGTCTGGCCGAACTCGTCCGGGTCCGCTAGGATAGCGTCATACTGGGCGTACGATTGCGGGTAGGGCGCCCGCTCGCGGAAGCCGGGTGTGTCGGTTGCTGCGCCAAAGTAGAGGAGGCCTGCTTTCTGGGCGAGCTTGTGGAGTTGGGCTTGGGCCTGGAGAGGCGTGAGGGCTGTAAGGAGCCCCAGGGAAAGGGGTGAGAGACGCATGTTGGGGGCCAGGGGGGGAAGGGGGGGAATGACGAGGTTTGTGATTGGCGCCTGGGAGGGAAAGGAAATGTGAGATATCGTCCAAGTGCAGAGGAGATGGCCGGCCTCTTTAAGAAAAAAAAAAAAAAGAAGATACCCATTTTACCCCTTACCCAGCTCCACGGAAGCGGGACAAGAGATCAACTCATTCCATATTAATTAACCCACACACGCACACACACACACACACACACACACACACACACACACACATACATGCACAACCCCACCACCATCATCGCGTCTCTGGCGATGAAGTTTCCCGCCGCGGCCCGAATGTGCAGTGAGGATCGTGCGGGTCCTTCTCCCCCGCTCGCCGCGACGGACTTGTTCCCCAAATATGGAGGTCCGCTTTCAGCCGAACCAGTCAATGTTACTATTGCCAAGGGAATGTGTAGTATTAAACCTCGTGGCCTCGTGAGTTTTAAAGCTCCGGGTAAAGCTGATTCGCCCGGCTATATAATGATCCTGGCGCCCCCATTGATCTGTAAACGATCGACACTTTAAACCCGGATGCGCAGTCAAGATGATGGCTATACATACAACTTTCAGAGTGGTAAGGCCCTCGAGGATCTAGATTGCGTGTACTCAGAATAGGTACCATATACCCGGTTGTCGTGTGTCGATGGATACAAGTTGGGAAATTTTCCAAGGCAAACTGAAAAGTTTGGAATTTTTTGTAACCTTACGCTTTCGTGATAATAACATCATCAAACTCGTCATATCTATCCTCTCGTCAGACCCTCCCAGGAAAGAGTTTGCCTATAGAGAGAGAGAGAGAGAGAGAGAGAGAGAGAGAGAGAGAGAGAGAGAGAGAGAGAGAGAGAGAGAGAGAGAGAGAGAGAGAGAGAGAGAGAG